ATAATCATATCGGCGAGAGAAACATGTCTTTAAAGAGTCATGGCGTTTAATAAAGTTGTATACCCATTTTTGCCCTACTAAAGCCTCATCCGATGCCTCCGGCGAGGCTCCTCGTTTCCGGATCAATATAGACGCCATTTCACGAACATGGGAAGGCCTGGGGGGAAGCCCTCGCTTATCCAAGGAGAGAATCCACTGTTCCAACGTCTCCTCCTCTGCAAGAGTCAATTTACACGAAACGACACGTATATCGCTTCGTGATTTGACTCCTTTAACGCGGTTCCAGAGGGTGGTTTGCGGAACGTTGAAAACGCGCGCTGCTTCTCGCAATGACGGAATTTGATCATTCTTTAAAGCCTCAATGGCTAAGAGGATCCTGCCTTCTTGTTCCTTACGTTCTTTTGACGATATAGCCATTTTGGTGGTTGATTTCGTTGATCAAAAGCCTCATGTTTTGGTGGAATGCGGAAGTCACGAGTTGGGCGTTCCACTCGCTTGCGCGTTCCGCTCGCTTACCGATTACGTTACCCGATAAGGAAGGGTAAATGCGGGAGCCAATCATCGCCTATCGAAAAAAAATCCTCGAGAAACGCAGAGATGCCGCTTTACACTGCATGGGTCTTCCTTGTAGGCCTTGTTTATTTTCATGTTTTGTGATTTATACGATCGATAGGTGTCCGATTCGATTTTCGAGAATGATAATTTGATCATACTCTTCAAAACCTTCTTTACCCTGTGCATTGTGGGGTGATAATTGCAATGCGATGAGTAGGTATCTCTGGGCCCAATTAACCCCTCCTAAAATAAAGTGTTTCCGCCCACTTAATCCGACCCGCCATTTCTCGGCTCTTTCTTTTCATCGTTTGTCACCAAGGCAAGGCCATCTGCTTTGATCCTCAAAGGCAAACGAAGAATAGGCGAGCAGAACTCAAGGGCTTGGCTGTCTCGTTCTTCCAATCATGGCAGATTTCTCTGTAGACGAAGGTAAGCGTTACACCGACTCGTGCTCGCGCACGTCCTCGTGCTGATTATTCGCCCTGGTTCAGGTCTGCTGGCCTTCTGGCATCTCTATCGTCTGCCGCTTCTCCTCGCTCTCGTCGCAGCGTTTACCTTCATTCGCTTCTATCGTACACTCCAGCCCAAGTCTAGAACGGCCACTGCCTCCTCGATCCCACCGTCCCCTCGAAGCCATTCTCCGGAGAAGAGTGAAAAGATCGCGATTGGATATGACGAAGAAGCCACCAAGGTCGAAAAGTCGACCATCCAAACTATCGCCGAGAAGGAGAAAGCGCCCAAGTCCACATCCGGTCCCAAGAGAGTGTCAGGAAAGAAGCCCTCAAAGGTCGCTGGCCGACGTGCCGGTTCCGACCAGGAACAACAGCCTCTGTCCTTCATCCAGCCTATCATCTTCTGGGCTTCGTTGACCGGATCAACTGAGAAATATGCGCAGGTTTTGCTTGAAGACCTGCGTGCCGCCGCCCAAGAACGAGCCGACCCGGAGAATCGCGAGCGGGCCATCCTTCCTCCTCAGATTCATGACCTCTCCTATGTCGATTTCGACGATTACTTCGCCGCTGCTCCCAAGCCTCCGCCCAACTCGCCCGGAACACGTTACGTTTACTGCTTGCTGATCCCCTCGTACAACATTGATACTATTCTGAACACTTTCCTTGGCCATCTTGACGAAACCCACAATGACTTCCGCATCGATACTGCGCCGCTCTCGTCCCTGGCTGGCTACGCTGTCTTTGGTTTCGGTGACAAGGAGGGATGGCCGACCGAGGAGGAGGGATACTGCTCCCAAGCCAAGGAACTCGATCGGTGGATGGCGAAGCTTACGGGTCGGAAGCGGGCGTATCCCCTCGGGTTTGGTGATGTCAAGGGTGATGCGGAAGCTGCTTTGAAAGAATGGTCTCATGGTCTTCAAGATATTCTGGGCGACATCCTGGAACATGGTGGATTGGGTGAAGGTGTTCCTGGCAGCGGTGACCCTCTCGAAAGCGACGAGGAGGATCTGGACGAAGAAGGCTCTGATGACAGTTCTAAGAAGAATCGGAAACGTAACAAGGCTCAAGATGTGGTTGACCTGGAAGACATCAAGTTCAGCGCTGATGGCCAGAGCGGATCGGGAGCCCCCGTTCCCGTTGACTTTACTACCGCGGGCGCTTCGCCTGCGTCCGCTATTCAACCCACTGAGAAGGAAATGGTCCCGAAGACATCGCCCACCTATGCAGCTCTTACTAAACAGGGCTACACCATTGTTGGTTCTCACTCAGGTGTCAAGATCTGTCGCTGGACTAAGTCAGCCTTGCGTGGCCGTGGCTCCTGTTACAAATTCTCGTTCTATGGAATTCGCTCGCACCTTTGCATGGAAGCTACTCCGTCCCTTTCCTGCAGCAACAAATGTATCTTCTGCTGGAGACATGGCACTAACCCGGTTGGCACAACTTGGCGATGGAAGGTGGATTCCCCTGACCTAATCTTCAATGGTATCAAGGAGGGTCATTACAAAAAGATCAAGATGATGCGTGGTGTCCCCGGTGTGCGTGCTGAACGATTCGCGGAGGCTATGCGCATCCGCCACTGCGCTCTCAGCTTGGTCGGCGAACCGATTTTTTATCCTCACATCAACCAGTTCTTGGACATGCTGCACAGCGAGCGCATCTCTAGCTTCCTTGTCTGCAATGCTCAACATCCCGATCAGCTCGAGACCCTCAACCGAGTAACTCAGTTGTACGTTTCCATCGACGCGAGCAACCGGGAAAGTCTGAGAAAGATTGACCGCCCTCTGCACCGAGACTTCTGGGAGCGTTTCCAGCGTTGTCTGGACATTCTTCGCGAGAAGCGTCACATGCAGCGCACTGTCTTCCGTCTTACGCTTGTGAAGGGATTCAACGTGGATGACGAGGTCATTGGATACGCGAATTTGGTTGAGAAGGCACTGCCTTGCTTCATCGAGATCAAGGGCGTCACTTACTGTGGTACTAGCACCAGTGCGGGAGCCGGACTGACTATGCAGAACGTGCCTTTCTACGAGGAAATCCAAGAGTTTGTCACCTCCCTTAACAAGGAGCTGGAGCGCCGCGGTCTCAAGTATGGTCTCGCTGCGGAGCATGCTCACAGCTGCTGTGCACTTATCGCATCCGAGCGCTTCTACGTGAACGGAAAGTGGCACTCGCGGATCGACTATGACCGGTTCTTCGAGCTTTTGGAGAAGGAGAAGGCAGATGGCACTCCCTTCAAACCCGAGGATTACATGAGTGAAACGCTCGAGTGGGCCTTGTGGGGCAACGGTGGCTTTGACCCCAACGATGAGCGTGTATACAGGAAAGGCAAGAAGAAGGGTCTCCAAGCTGCAGCAGCAGCTCAGGATTGATTGAACCTGTCTCCTGTTATGTTCAAGTTCCGTGCCACCCCTATAAGCGCCACAGAGACCCTTTGAGGCCTGCCTCATGATCCGTCGTATGGGTGGCTCACAATCATTTTCGAACCGATTCCGCAGCTGTGAAGGGATTAGGAGCACCATCCTATCGAAAAACCCACCAAGTAGCCAGGCCATGGCCGACGGAGCCCATCTTGCACGGAGGTGAGCTACTGCGACAAAGCGAATCGACAAAAGCGGGCCATTCTGCGCTCAGCGTCCCACAGACGCCAAAAATATTCCCAAACTCTAGCCGAGACTGTCGGACAACAAGATATACTCCAGCCGAAGTCAGCTGCTGTGCAAGTTACAACGCTAGTTGGATTTCTTCTATGATTCATGTATTTAGTTGAGGAACGACGACGAATTCTAGCTATATTTCGATTATCATGCATACTTAGTGTCTGTCAGATCCAAACTAACAAACACTTTCTCAGTGGTCAAACAGACGGTCGTTTCACATTGACGGTCCACACAACACCACTAGTCATTCATTACTTCTAACCAATTTCAGGATAAAAGGTCATTCCTGAGGTTTTGTAGCTGGGAGTGATGATCTGCTTAGATAATGACGAAGGAAGAGATGTGATCCAACGAGTGAGAGTCTCATTGACTAGATTTGCTTTTGATAACGTTGCTTAAACACATCATCGCAAGAGATCACCAGCACCATCCAAGGCGTCAACACAGAGCGAGAAGCATGACGCTACTGCGCGAGATGAAATGACTGACCACCCGATGTTCGACCAGCCAGTCAGGCACCCAACCTGACTGTCACCTCATCCATGTCGGGTGACCATTTTCTGAACTCCTTCGTCGGCAGGTGGTTTTCGAACATACCATCGATTTCAGTTGGGAACCGGTCTTTCATCTCCGGCACCAGAAACCATGTTATCAGTAGTGCCACAAAACTGGAGGCGGAGAACATGAATCCTGTCTTTGAGCCCAATGCGCCTTGGTCCGGGTTGAATGCATATGGCAGCACCAGACCGGCAACCCCGGTTGCCAGACAATTTACGAGCCATCCTAGTCCTTGCGTCTTGGCGCGGAGCCGTAGGGAGGATGTCTCCGCGCCCACGGCGTAGGTCGCTGGCCATGCCCCGGCACCGTTGAAGACGACGACCAAACAGAACGTCACAGCCGAGTACCTAGCGGTCATTATCAGACGTGGCCCCTCAACCTGACACTCGAGGAGTGGAGGACAACTAACCAGACAGTGACTTCTCCATGAAAACAACCGGCAATGCCCATACCCAGCCACAATAGTGCTATGATCCCCAAGCTTGCAATGATGAGCAATACGCGGCCAAATCGAGACAACGTCCAGAAGCTGAAGACGTTGGCTGCTAACCCCAGCCCGGTGCTAACCTGCAGCATCATAATGCTTGTGTTCGCTCCCAAGCCGATGATTTGCAGGAAATAGCTGGCTTTGGCCAACAGTACGAGTCCCATCATATTCGGGATCATGTTCACGAACAGGACGATCATTGTGCGCCGCCGGTTGACCCCCACGAAACACTCGCGGTATCCCGCGGATTCTTGCTCCCCGAGCTGGGCGGATGCGCGCAGTTGTTGGATCTTGGCCATGGAGTCCACCTCGGTGGAATCAAGTCGTTTCTGTGCTTTGAGCGCTTCGTCCAGGCGGCTCTGGCGGACGAGGTGCGTTGGGCTCTCAGGGATCATGACGGACACTAAGAGGGACAGAGCTGAGAAGGGCCATTGCGAAAGGAAGCAATTGAGGTAACCCCTCGCTCCGGGAGTGTGGAGGGCACTCCGGACCACCGCGCTGCCTACCAACTGGCCCACGAGTGTGAAGATGGGAAACAGGGCAAGAGTCGGCCCTCGTAATAAGGTAGGTAGTACTTCTGACATATATGTCTCAGCCGTGCTCACGACCATGTACACGGCGAATCCCTGGACTAATTTTCCCACAAGGAAGATGGCCCTGCGGTCGTCGATCTCGGTCGCAAGGTTGGAGACATACAACACGGCGACTGCTATGGCGGAAAGCAGGCTGGCGATGGCTAACGAAAAGCGACGACCGATACGGTCTTGGATCAAGCCGCTCGCGATCGCACCGAACAAGCCGCCGATCGGGCCGACCACACTCCAGAGGCTCAGCCAGACCGAGGGAATGATCAGTTGTCCCTTGGATTCCCGGCCATAGTTACGCCTTGCGAATGTGAGTATTGAAGAGGTAGACCGCGGGGTTCAAGAAACCTCTTACTGGAACTGTGGCATGGATGACACATTGTTCACAATGACCATATCGTACCCGTACAGCAGGATGCCAGCAGTCAGAGCAAGGCAGTAGCTCAATATCTTGTAGGATTGTTTGATGGTCGCCCACACCGTCGGCTGAGCGGTGGATCGAACGTCCTCGGTGGACGAATTGACATGGTCGCTGTGCCGGGCATCTGCGTCTCCTGGATGAACCTGAGCAGATTTCGACTCCATCGTATCGCATATGCTGGCTACCTACCCATGGGGGCTGGCTCCCACCTATGTCTCTATGTCGCCCATTATGTAGTCCAGGCTCACGGCCTGACTTAACTCCGCAGACACGGGGCAAATGCTAGACATTTCTCTCAAACAAAGCAAGCAGAGTTTCCAAGACGTTACACAATGCAGGCAACACTGTCCCTCCCAGCCACAGTCGGGTTGTGTGGTCAGTTGCGAGCGGTCGCAGGCGGTTGCGCAGCCATCCTAAGGTCGCATTGTGTGGGATTGAGCGGTTGCAGTTCTGACGGTCGGGAACCCGCGAATCGATGAGTTAGGGCAAGAAAGCAAACATGCAGCACCTGCTCTCTGCACCAAGCAGCTGTCCGAGGCCGGTGATCGCGCCTCGGGTCGCGTTGGTAGGGTTCATTCTTGGGCAAGTCAATCCCGAGCTTGTATGGTCCACCACCACGCAAGTTGCAACGGGGCACCTAAAGCCGCTAACTTAGTGACTTGGCGCGTAAGCCACAGACTTCCGTCTGAATATCTTGTGATTGCCACTTCGCATCGGATGCTCAGTCATCTATGCAGATGTACAATGTATGTCCTTTGTCTCAGTCTCGCCAATGAATTTTTGTTGCTGCCCATCTAGTGCTGTGCATACTCTTCTACCGAGTATCTCGTCGATTGGGGGTTTGTACTGTACGGGAAGGGCGCCCGTTCACGTGAAGCGGATGTTGCCGAAATTCACTCGAAAAACACGGCAAAAGAAAGGCAGCCGATGCCAACCCTGCCAGCGGCCTAGCGCCCTTCTGATGCTGCACGCTGTAGATCAGGTTTATAATTGGGCCAACATTGGCTCTCATGCTGCATCGATTGGCCCGGTTCGGAGAGTTTCTCCCCGCCCTGGCGAGTCAGGACGTTGGTCCTGTCAGGTTCGGCAAAAGGAGACACCATCCGCACCGCACCAATGTCTGGTTTTCCGATCCGCGTGGGGTTGGCGTGGGTTTGCGTGGGTTTGCGTGGGCAGGATCGACAACCGGTAATAAGACGTCAAAAGTCCCGTGGAGGGGGGGGTTTGGTCCAGTCGGGATTGACACTTTTGACAGATATGGAGATGGCAGCTGTCTATCTTTCTAGCTTCATAGTCACCGCGGCTTTCGGAAAGGACATTCATGGTGATCCATCGTTTTTTTCTGGTGCTAAATATAACAAGGAAGAGGGGGGGGGCCAAGTTCATTAAATCTGCCCCGTTCATTTTTTAGGGTGGGCACTGGCGTTGTTGTACATTGCTTGAATTGGGAATAGGCGAACCGCCCAGTTGGGACGTGCCCGCTTTGGCAGGGGAGGAACATTAAGATTGCCCATTGCCCATTGCCCATTGCCTTCATCATCAATATTGCCAATTCAATTGCCCAGGAAAACATTCCCCTGATTCTCTGAAGGACCTTCCTTCCTTCGGTCTCCTAGTCTAAGCCTCTAGGCTCTTGGACATTTGGGATTGTCATGGGTCAATCGGTCCCAGTCGCGTCTGACAGCTCACCCTGGATTGGCTTTCTAGAAGTCTGCAGGTCCAAACGCATTTGCTTCTTTGATCCTGGTCTCCCTGCGCCTCCGAGGAGTCCCGAATCCTTAAGATCCACTCACGCGTGGCAGCCCAAACCCGCAGGAATGAGGGGAAGGGGCGTTTCGTCTATAGCACCCGTCACATATACTCATCGTCATGACTGGAGCGGGATCCCCGAAGAAGAGGCGGACAATCGCACGTGGGAGTGGGCATTCTCGGTCGGATGGGCATGGCGATGGCGATGGCGATGGCGATTGTTTACATTGTAATTTAGGATTGGCATCCGTGGGTTGCTGATTGATTTGATCTAGGGTTGTGAAAGGTCAGCTGGGGGTGGGCGGATGGCGGATGGCGGCGAATGCGAGCTTTGATCCATGGGTTCTGGCAATTCTGCACAACATTAACACCTTCAAAACCATAATTGATCCCAGATCCCAGAGCCATGGATGGTTGGTTTCTTCTGCCGGATGGCTTGCGCCGTCATCATTTGAGTTTCTTCTTGAACTTTTTTCGCCTTCTTGCTTTCTCACTTCTCTTAACCAATTCTTCCTCTTACTCCTTAGTACTGACTCGACCGTCGGGGAGTCTACCCAAAGCGGAGGTACAACCGAGGCGGAGTGGAACCCTCCCTGTTTCCGGCTATTGACGTGAAATTATCCCCGGTGCAGCAGGATAACCTTTAACACTATCAGACACTAATCGTGTCGTCGCTCTGACCACAACGGCTCGGTGGGGGGGAGGAAGAATTGCTCTGAGTCTTTGCCACGACTCAATCCGCACGAACAATTATCTTGGTTTTACTCAGTAATCTCGGGAGAATGGAGCCCTCTCCGCGACACCTACCTAGTGATGATCTCATTCCTGAAATGGCTGCTCCTACTGAGTACAGTCTCTCTAAGCGAGGGGGCTCTACTGGAGTCTGTCTTCCTTGGTCCCCTTCAGCCCAGGC